TTGTTATCACAGTATCACAGTATGCTAGAGATTGGAAGGGACCTCAAAAGATCATCTAGTCCAATCCCCCTGCTGGAGCAGGAACACCTAGATAATGTTACACAGGAATGTGTCCAGGTGGGTTTTGAATGTCTCCAGGGAAGGAGACTCCACAACCTCCCTGGGCAGCCTGTTCCAGTGCTCTGTCACCCTCACTGAGAAGAAGTTTCTTCTCAAGTTTAAGTGGAACCTCTTGTGTTCCAGTTTGTACCCATTACCCCTTGTCCTATCATTGTTTGCCACTGAGTAGAGCCTGGCTCCATCCTCATGACACTCCCCCTTTATATATTTATATTTACTAATATGGTCACCCCTCAGTCTCCTCTTCTCTATAGAGACCCACCTCCCTCAGTCTTTCCTCATAAGGGAGATGCTCCACTCCCTTAATCATCTTCGTTGCCCTGCGCTGGACTCTCTCCAGCAGCTCCCTGTCCTTCTTGAACTGAGGGGCCCAGAACTGGACACAATATTCCAGATGCGGTCTCACCAGGGAAGAGTAGAGGGGAAGGAGGACCTCTCTCGATCTACCAACCACCCCCCTTCTAATACACCCCAGGATGCCATTGGCCTTCTTGGCCACAAGGGCACAGTGTTGGCTCATGGTCATCCTGTCGTCCACTAGGACCCCCAGGTCCCTCTCCCCTACACTGCTCTCTAACAGGTCGTTTCCCAACCTATACTGGAACCTGGGGTTGTTCCTGCCCAGATGCAGGACTCTACACTTTCCCTTATTATATTTCATGAAGTTATTCCCTGCCCAACTCTCCAGCCTGTCCAGGTCTCGCTGGATGGCAGCACAGCCTTCTGGCGTGTCAGCCACTCCTCCCAGCTTAGTGTCATCAGCAAACTTGCTGATAGTACACTCAATTCCCTCATCTAAATCGTTGACGAATATATTAAATAATACCGGTCCCAGTACTGACCCTTGAGGCACTCCACGAGTTACAGGCCTCCAACTAGACTCAGCCCCATAGACTACAACTCTCTGGCTTCTCTCCTTCAGCCAGTTCGCAGTCCACCTCACTACCTGATCATCCAGTCCACACTTCCTCAATTTAGCTGTGAGGATGCTGTGGGAGACTGTGTCAAATGCTTTGCTGAAGTCAAACCACTCTGCCATCATCCATCCACCGTGTTATTTCCTCATAAAAGGCTAAGAGATTGGTCAAGCATGATTTCTCCTTGGTGAAGCCATGTTGACTGCCCCTCATAACCCTCATAACTTAAGATGGCACCAAGGATAAGGTGTTCCATCACTTTCCCAGGGATGGAGGTGAGGCTGACCGGTCTATAGCTACCCGGGTCCTCCTTCTTGCCCTTTTTGAAGACTGGGGTGACATTTGCTTTCCTCCAGTCCTCAGGCACCTCTCCCGTTTCCCAAGACTTGGTAAAGATGATGGAGAGCGGTCTAGCAATGACTTCCGCCAGTTCCCTCAGCACCCGCAGGTGCATCCCATCTGGACCCATGGATTTATGGATGTCCAGATTGCTCAACTGGTCTCTAACCCATTCCTCATCAACTAAGGCAAACTGCTCTGTTGACCTGACTTCATCTAAGGTCTCAGGGGTACAGGGCTCTTCAGGACTGCCTGCAGCAGAGTAGACAGAGACAAAGAAGCCATTCAGTAACTCTGCCATCTCTGTATCTTCTGTCACCAGGGCACCCATCCCGTTCATCAGTGGGCCTACATTGCCTCTGGTGTTAGTTTTGTCTGCCATGTATTTGAAAAAGCTCTTTTTGCTGTCCTTGACCCTTCTTGCCAGGTTTAATTCTAAGGAGGCCTTAGTCCTCCTAGCTGCCTTCCTACATCCTCTAGCAGCAGCCTTATATTCCTCCCAAGTGGCCAGCCCCTCCTTCCATGACCTGTAAACTCTCCTCTTCCACTTGAGCATACCCAGCAATTCCCTATTTAGCCACGCAGGTCTCCTGGCCCTCTTCCTTGACTTCCTATGTGTCGGGATGCTCCGATCTTGAGCTCGGAAAAAGCAATCCTTGAATGCCAACCAACTATCTTGGGCCCCTTTACCTTCAAGCAGCCTTGCCCATGGGATTTCCCCTAGCAATTGCTTGAAAAGGCCAAAGTTTGCCCTGCTAAAGTCCAGGGTTGCAATTCTACTTTGTATTCTACTAGTCCTACCACACAAGACCCTGAATTCCACCTTCTCGTGGTCGCTGCAACCAAGGCAGCCCTCAACCCTTACTGCTTCCACCAGACCCTCCTTGTTAGTGAGGATGAGATCCAGCAGCACTCCTCTCCTGGTTGGCTCATCCACCATTTGCAGGAGGAAGTTATCATCCATACACTGGAGGAACCTCCTGGACTGTGGCTGGGTTGCCGAGTGGTCCTTCCAGCAAACATCAGGGAAGTTAAAATTCCCCACGACGACCACGGCCTGTGACTGTGAGGCCTCTCTCAGCTGCCTGTAGAAGGCCTCGTCAACTTCCTCACCCTGATCCGGTGGTCTGTAACAGACACCTACAACAGTATCCCCCCTGCCAGCCTGCCCCTTAATTCTCACCCACAGACTCTCAACTCGCTCGTCATCTGTCCCTGGACAGAACTGGGTGCATTGTAGTTCCTCCCGCACATAAAGAGCAACCCCACCACCCCGCCTGGCTGGCCTGTCTTTCCTGAAGAGGACATAGGCCTCCATGACTATATTCCAGTCATGTGAGCTGTCCCACCACGTCTCTGTAATTGCCACCAGATCACAGTCTCCTGACTTAACACAGGTTTCCAGCTCCTCCTGCTTATTTCCCATGCTGCGCGCATTGGTGTACAGACATTCCAGGGCGCGAGCTGAGCACACCGATTTCACCCTAGGATTATAGGAGGCCTCCCAGTCTTCATCAATTCTGGAGCGCTGCCCCTCTGGGTGCTGCCCCACTGGGGGTTATGAAGCTAAGCTGTAAACCAATAAACCTTGAATGTCCACTTCCATATGGAATAGAATATAAATTTGTTATAAATAAATATGAAAAGAAGGATAAAATATGGAAAAATCAGAATGAACAACTCTGAAGAATGTTCACTTGCATTATCAAAAATGAAAACATAAAGATTTTGTATGTGGGGGAAGAAAGAATTTAAACAGAAATGAGTGGCCTGACAACTTAACACTATCTAGTTAAAACTGTTGCTTTTTATTTAAACATTTTGATTGACATGAAAATATTAGTTTATTTGTCTGTTGTCTTAGCTGTTTTCTGATCAAGATAATGCATCTCTTCTGGCTTTGAAATACACCTTTACAGATCTGATTTTGTTTTTAAACCATTTCTTGCCTTCTTTCTACTAGTCACAGGGAGTAAGTGATGAGAGTAATAAAGTCAAATTAATGCAACTAGCCAGTATTAAGTATGTTCAGGTATTTAGAATACTTCTGGCTTCCTTGAGATACTCTAAAACAGATGGTACCGTGCCATATGCAGCTTGTCATAAACATGCAAACCACTTATTTACAGTCTCTGTTTAAAGTGTGCTTGTTACCCCAGACAAAATAAAACCCTGCCAAAGTCTTCATCTTCATTTGTTGTTAAAAATATTATTCCCCTGTCATTAGCTTTTACTGGAATAGTAAAGGTTTTTAATTAAAATAGATTAGGGAGGTGGGGAGAGGGTAGTGATGGAAAAGCACCAGTTTTATACAACCAGAAGTGCAGTTTTGCTGGTGTATTTTTTCTACTCATACAGGGAACACTTTGCTGATGTGTAGCTGTCCAACAAAGTCTTTCAGGTACAAACATGACCTTGTGGCTCTATCAGTTAATGTGGGTATGTAGATTAAGATGAAAAAGAACTGGAGTGAGGGAGGAGGAGGAAGGGGAAAGGTCTTTGATACGAATCTAGCTGTAGGATTAAGTACCTTAATCTTTTCCCTTAGGGATCGATCTAGCTAGCAGAAGTCTGAATACAAATGATACCCAGTTTTCCTCTGATTGCATCACAGAGCTAACCTAGGAGTTAGCATGGTCTCTTCCACTGTGATGGTGCTGCACTAAGTTGAATTGAGATTCTTCTTGCAGTGGAAGTTCACCTGCACTTAAAGAGTTTAGTGCTAGTCTGCAGGAGCAGTGGTAGCACCCTGTGCTCTGGTACACTGATGTGCTCACAAGGTCAGACCCTGAAAAAGAACCTTGAGTCTTGTTCCAGTATGGCCAATTTAAATGTTGTCATTTCCAGTGGTTAAATGGAATGTAAATAAGGGTACTGTGTCCAGAATTAGATTGAAGATTTAATATTCTCATAAGAATAGAAAATTAACAACTGAACTGAACCACCTGGAATATTTTTTGCATGTTAAATCAGATCTAATATTACTGCAATAAACAAGTGCAAATTGTTTGCAGCAATGAAAAGAACTACCCTGTTGGGCAGGAAGTTGCATTTACTCTTGCTTGTTATTATGAAGGAAAGATTTGATATTCCTGGTGACTATGAAGATTAAACCAGAGATTTATGTTAATGGAAAGGATTAAAAGAATCTTAATTACATTTATAAAGATGCAAATATTCGCCTGCATTTTATCTTTTTGCAGATGAATGTGCCATGAGGGATATACTGAAGGGGGAGAATGTGTCCTCACTCTGAATTGGAACATCTGGTTTAATACTGCACTCACATGGTCATTAAGTATTAGTTGTTTTCACCAGTGTGGTTTGGAACAGTATGTGATAGACTTTTTCTCCTTACCTGACTTCAAATATCAGTAAATGGCAACTTACCACCAACTCCAGATAACTGGTGCCTGTTTAGGGTATTGCTTTGCATGTTGCAATGAACTGTAAATACTACCCAGTGTGTATATATGTTGTTTTGTTTTTTGCTACTCTGTCACTTTCAGACTGATTTTCTAAAAGGTGAAGAGCTTGAAATACTGACTCCACTGTAGAATCATCAGCTAAGTTTCTCCAGTTTCAAACCATCCTCCCAGTGCAAACACAGGCCACACCAGCATGGAAAATTATGTGCTTTATTTGGGAACCCTGACACATTATACGTATATGTACATACATTTCATGTGGAGAAATCATAGAAAAAATATGATTTGAAAAAGGAGGCAATTAAGGTGAAGGTGTAAACATCACTAGCCATTGGGTTTTTCTTGCTCTTCAACCAATTGTTTACTAACAGACAAGTATATAGAAACAAAAGCCACCTGGATTTGTTATGCAATTCAATTGATATGACTGTGAAAATGTCACAGCTCTCAAATCAGTATAAATCTTCAAAAGGTTTTGAGTAGTTAAACATCAAGTAATCCATATAGTAAAAGTCATAGCTTTGTTGTCGTTGAGAAGGGGAAAGCTGTGCAAAATACTGTTTTGTAATTTTACTGGTAGTTCTTTCTTCATTGGAGTGCCTATCTTTAAACTTGGGGAAAGTTAAATTTTGTGGAGCACCAATTAAGTGCAAGAAGAAGTTTGCATCATCTTCCATACTTTCAAACTTCCCAACAAAGTCATAGTCTATTAAACATGGGCTGCAAAGCCTGTTGACATGGTCCCAGTGAATATCCATACCCACTGGCCTATGTACATCCAGGAGATACTGAATGAACTCTTTAAATGTGACTCCAGCGCCTGTCCTTAATGCTTCTTTGGTGGCATTGACACGATATCTGGAAATGATAGCTTTTCCAAAAACTGGATGGTAGTAGTTGTTTGGGTGTTCAAACTTGTCCCGAAATGCAGATACCAACTTTTCAAAAGGCTCACGAATGAAAAGCATCTTCGTGTAAGTGTTGAGCCGATGATAAATTCCTTTGTGATCAAACCCATCCAGTCTTTTTAAATAGTTTCCATAGTGCACTGTGTTGTGCTGTATATCTTTTGTGGAAGAAGCCAGCCCGTTGAGAACCATGAGCACCCGTTTCCAGTTAGAGCAGCCTGCTTTTGGAACTTCACAGTATAGAACTCTGTATTTATCTTCTACAAATATTCTAGAAACATGATAAGGAGTGATTATTCTTCTGTTATTACTCTTGTACTTGGAACAAGTTTCTCTCATAATTTGCTTTCTTTCTCTTTGGATCTGATAGAGATTTTTCCATTTGTCATTGTTTCTATCCTCAGATTTAAGCGTGGGCAGGTTGAGAACGGAGCTGTTTATGGAAATAAAAATTGGGCTCTTTTTAATTATAAATCTCCTCCTTCGTTTATGGAGCCTGATGGAATTATTTTCTTCATTGTTCTGTTGATCTTTCATAGCAAACATTATGCTGCTTTGCCTTCTGTCTGTGCTTTGAAGCTTAGCGGCCATGTTTTCAGATGAGTGTAATGAATCGCTCTGCTTTGCTGTTGCTACACTGTCTACAGTATTTTTTCTTAAACTTCTATCATGGTTGTTGCTAGAAATGCAGTCCTGATGAGAAAAATAGATGAAAGATGTTAGTAAATAAGAAGGTGTTTGTCACTGTTAACAGCTTGTGCAACTTACTGTGGATCTCTCATAGACTCCGAGCTCAGCAGAACTGTACAACAAAAGGCATTGCTGCAAGTACTCAGTGCTGGGCTGCATTGTCGTATGCACTGTTGTCATCTTGTTCTGTGCTTACAGGGAAGTGAAAGGCTGCGGTGAACCTGAACTGGCAAATTCCAGTTCAGATTTGGGTGGGAAGTTGTGCACAGAGGGAAGCCTGACAGGGAAGGGAGGTTTACAATATTTGTAAAGTGGAGTGAAGATGTAGAGGGAGCAAGAGGGAGTGAAGAGTAGGAAAAGGGAAGCAGAAGGGACTGAAGTAGAAAATGGAGGATTTGCAGAGAAGTGGATTAATAAGCATGAGTAAGGACTCTGAAGGGAGGCTTGAGTGAGGTGAGCCTTGGACCAAAGCGATTGAAGCTTGATGAGAAGCAGTAAGGGGTGGGAATGAATCTGTGGCTGGGATTAGGCAACTGAAAACAGAGTAGGCAACAGGGTTCTATGGACAAGGGTTTTCTGGGACCTGCTTATTTTCACTAGTTGGATCTCACTAGTTAATACTACTTCTGACATACTGGCCAGATGTGCTCCATTACTTCGGGCTTCCCATAGGAGCTGCATTAAATCCCTGTCTCCGTATTTATGCCTCAAAGACTAAAATTAGGCTCTGGACACTGTTTAACTACATGTCATTTCTGTTTTGAGAGCTCACCTGGGAGCTGACTGGCATATGAACCACCAGGGAGTATTTCTACAGAGGAAGCAGATTGTAGTTGCAGAATATTTACTGCTTACCCAAAATACTTGATGTTTCTGTAGAGGTTTTATAAATTATAAATTTCTGATTTTCAGTATTTATTTGCTCCCTGATAGTATTTAAAACTGGCTTCAAAAATAAGATACTGAATGAATTTTAAGGTGTAGAGTATGGGGATAAGCAGGGTCATGTTCTTTCAAGGTGGCAGGTTAAACCTGAATTGTGATAGTGTTTACAAGTCTCTGTTGGCTGAACAAAGTGATGCTATGGGTAACTTAAAAAACTTGTGCTGTCATGGAGGTTATATCCTGCCTCATCCTTCCTTAAAGGTGAGAGGCTTAAAAAAAAGGTCTCAAAAAGGGACTCAGTATTCATTATAAAAAGCATTGGTGATGAAAGAAACAATCAGATTGTCTATATTCTAAGTGACTTGCATAAATTGATAACTATTATACAAAAGTCTGATAGAACAGGTAAGTACTAAGCAGAATTTTTAGACTACTATGCAAGTTGTTGCAGAACATGGGCTTCTAAAATATCTTGTAGTGGGGGTGGTGTATGATGTGTGGACTGGGAAACCAGGTGATAATTTTCATGCAAGATGCTATGTATTCAATTGTTGGAGGTGCTTGTTGCACTTTGCTCTTACCTTCAGAGGCTGTTTCTGGTAGTCAGAGGTGCATTGAAGATTTTATGTAGAATACACATGTATTTCTAAATATTACCCTTTACAAAGTGGCTGAAATTCAATTTAATTTACTCATGATGTGACTGATATTTCAAGGTTTTAAAATCCAGACTTCCTAGATATTCATATTTTAAACGATGACACTGACAATGAAACTAGAGTTTTTGAGGAACTCAAATGCCATGATTTGAATGTCTTCTGCAGTGTTGACCCTTCATCAAGAAGGTCAAGCTGGAGCTGTAAAGATGGAGTGATGTCACTCACATCACTGATTTCACCAGGCAATGGCTTTTGGGTAACAGCTGGCAGCTGCACAATTGCTCCTTTTCATATTTTGCATTTACCCTTAACCATGAGCTAGCAGCTGCCCACCACAGCCGTTCCCTGCTGCTGTCAGTGTCCCAACAGCCACTAGATGGAGGAATTTTACCAGGTTTTCCCTTTCGCCTATTTCAAACTGCATCTCAAGACATAATTTGATCAGCGTTATTTCATGCAGGATATTAATATATGCAAAGTTTATGGTATCTTTTAGCAGTATCCAGTCTAGGAAAAACCTCATAACATTGAAGTTGCATATCTTATCATATTTATGTTTTAAAAGGAAAATTTGCACTTCATGGCAAAGCTTTGATGCATCTTTCCTTTTCAATACTTCATCTCCAGTCTGATGGCCTTATCTCAGCCATCTCTGTCCATGCTCTATACTCAGAATATGTGTATAATTTTCCTTATGTAGTTCTGAAAACTTACTTTTCTTGGTGGTTGGAATCCCATGTTATGTTTTATCCCTAAACAAAAAAAGAAATTGAAGACAATATTTAGTAAAAATAAAAACATTGGTTGAATTTTCTGCTGGACTGATAACAGTGTGTCCTCTCAGTAACTAAAAGGAAAACAGGAACAACTTCTGTTAAGGCAAAGTTAAATAGAATCATAGAATCTTAGGCCACTGTTGAATCATAATAAACGTATTTCATATTAACAATACTCCATGGAAGGCCTATTTATTTACAGATGTAATAATTATGAAATGGAGTGAATGGCTCTACCTCTCTTTTACAGACACGGAAACTGAGATGGAGAAAAACGATTGCTTAACCTCAGCTAAAAGGTCAGTAGCAGAGCAAGAAGCAGCTGAAATCTGCTATCTTAGGTTAGAGCTCTAAAAAAATGCTGTTCTTTGTGTACTTACCAAAGCTTGTGTGGTTTCTCCCCCTGCAACTTCAGATAGTATGGTACTTAATCTTAGTAATAGCTTGAATTAAGTATTATTCTTTGCTGTTAAACCACAGCAACATACAGTGAAGTTATGTGTAAGTGAAGTCATATTTCTGGAGTTCTGAAGAGACAAAACAATGCAGAATTGTGTTTTGCCATATCTTCTGGTTTCTAGTTATGTCTGCCTGAAAATGTAATAATAAAGATGTGAAAATCCTAGAAGCCAGCTTTAGCAGATGTGTGGGAACTATTTACTATTCTAACCTCTTCTAAGTATAAGTTAATACAGGAATGTATAATGGAAAACACTTCTTAATTATGAAATTATTTTGAGGCTTTTCAGCTGCTGTCATCACTGCTACTTTTGCTTGAGAAATTCACTTGCTTGAAGACTTCAGTTTAATCAGTCTACATGATGAATCCACAGCCTTTTTGACAAGGGCAATTGCAGATAAAGGTATTGCAGAGCATTGTAAGTGGAAGCATCACTGGGCTAGCTCAGTCCCTTTGGATTAATTTTCATGGAACTATGAAAGGTCTCAAAACACAGTGCATGCATACTTCATGCAAGTCCAACTCGCATGATCAGTCATGTTTGGGGTTTTTTTTGTGTTTTGGTGTTTTGTTGGGTTTTTTCTTTTTTGTTTTTTAAATCCGATCTACAAACTTGTGCTTATAAGTAAAATTGTCATGGTTATTTCTATGCTGTTATAGTTTATCTAGCAGTGGTTAATTACAACTAATTACATTTTTGTAGTAGTGTTTCATAAAGGTAACTTGAGAGATTTATACTTTACACTGATATGCTGTGCTTTTGAAGTTAAACACAAATGCTAGTAGAAGATGAGTAACTGTTTAAAGAAATGTTTCTTCATTTACTGGCTTTAACATGTAATCAGACAACAATTCATGTTTAATGTAAATGTTTGCTGAAGCACTTGCCAATCTCTTCTATGTTTTCTGAGTTTGACTTCTAAAGTTGGCTTGTTTTAGCTGTCTTTCTCATGATGCAGTCTGTCACTTCAGATTTAAAGCTACAAGGAAAAAAGCCTCTTAAGTGCAGTGAACTCGGAAGTTATGTTGTACAGATCTACTATACTAATACAAATCTAAATTTGATGTTATGCTACATCTTTACTATACATGTTAACTTGCCAGGTCTCAGATGTTGTTGCCTAAATGGCTGTATATTTTTTTGCCATAAATAAACCACTGGTGTCCTCCGCATACAGGCAAATTAATGGTCGTTAAATGTCTGGTGCCAGACGCAACAACCAACATCTCATTAATGCTCAGAGAGAGAGTAGCTGGGAGACAGAATCATTCCATCAATTTTACATTGTTTATGTCAGTTTTCATGATGTTCTTTTCTCTTCCACTTGCGCAACCATGACTTTCCAGACCTGAGCTTGGCCTATGTTTTATGTCTGTTTTTGTTTTCTTTCATGAAACACGAGCATTGCGCTTCAGCCAGTCCTACCATGTAGTCAAACCCATTGTGAGCTTTTTTTTTCTTTTAAAATGCTACTAGCAACACAATAAAATGGCCTTCATCTTCCCTGTGTAATATTATATAGCATTTTCTCTCTGCCTTCTCCTATGTCTCTCTTGAAGACCTAATTTTGGTTTGTCTCTGGTATTTTCCTCTGTTCTGAGACTACACTACAGCTGAAATATTTTTTAATAAAAATGAGAACTTCAAGTCTGCATCTGTGACTCCATCCCTTAATGGGCTTCTGTGAGTAGTGTATACTTCTTTGCTTCATCCTAACTGATGTGTGAAATACACTCTGGAAGGGCTGTTACTGTCATTGCATGCATATCTATGTCAAGTATCTGGTCTTCATGCACTCCAGCCTTAGGTCTTTACTCAGAGACGGGAACATATACTTAATTGCAGAAAGAGTAACAGACTAGCACTCAGAATTCTGATGAGCATGAAAAAAAATTTAGTCTGTAAAGTATTTTCCTTAAAGTACTGGTCATATCAGGTCATCTTTTTTCATATATATATATATCATTTAAAATGAACTTTTAGCTTGTACGGTATAGAAGAACTGCCCATTTCTGATCCTAACTTACTCTGGTGTCTAATTTTCTACATATTTGAATGAAACTGCTCATTAAAGAAATCTATTTTTAAGATTACTACTTTTGTAAATTATTTGTTCTTGTATATATAAAATACATGTAGCATGTGTATTTGGAATACTTTAAAAATATATAACCCCTTGGAAGAAAATGCTTTTATTTTGAAATTGTTTCTTAATTAGTAGAATTTATATGTATGTACCTCTTTTAATTGTATCCTATGTATATATCCTTTTTATATCTAGAACTTTGAGTTTATCTGATTAGGAAAAATTCCCTTTGAAGTTCCCATCTAAGCAACATATACAGAACCTCATTTTAACACACACAAAATTAATAACATAAAGAAGGCTTAACAAAACTTTAGCACCTCTTCAGTTGTGCATCAAACAAGAAGCAAACCTATATAGTGAATCTATATAATCTAACCTCTTCATGTCCCTGGTGAAGCAATAAGTATATGGTGTCATTTCCCACATATGAGTAAACTTACAGTGAATGCTTTGGTTAAATGATACACTCCTGCTGTTGTCAAACCAAAATGCTTAGTGACAGGACATGCATCACTGTGTTTTACAGAAAGCTGTGAAGTCATGTATTTCTCAAACATAGAGTGTATTTTCATGTCTGTTTAACACTAATTGTTGCGACAGTAAAGATAGCACAACCAGATTTCACTGTATTCTCTATCAATGTGGGGTTGCATGCAGGAAAAACTTGAGCCTCCTGCAGTTTGACCAAAGAATCTGTTTGTCACTCTTCAAGTGAAAGCAGTTAAGCAGTCTCCATAGCACCCATTGCTTTTATGGCACCTTTTTTTATTTGGTGGCAGAATAATTATATGTATGAGAAAAAAGATTTTATTTATGTATGAATTGTAAGAGTAAATTATTGTGGAATGTATTTGTAATGCAGCTTTTCTGGAAGGATATTATATGTTACTGTGAATGTTTTATTCTGCTATCCATTCCTACACTATGTACCATCTAGTGATTTTTTCTAAACTTCACTTTGCAAAGTGTAGTAAGTTATTTACTACTATTCTGGCTTTTCACATGTGAGAAGCAGAGACTAATAGCTACATTTGCCAAACTGATCTGATTTTTAGGTTGTCATGTTTTGAATTACAAACTCAATAATTGATTGTCTCAAACCCCCATATTACTGGTCAAGTTTTACTTTGAAAAGTTTAAATTCAGACTCACATGGTGAGTCTTCAGTAATGTCTAGATTAGCATGCAGGTATCTGACTTCTAATCACGGTGTTCAGTTCACCACATTGTAGATGATTTCTCAAGTAGTGAGATGCAGTTTATCCACTGAACACTGTAGTTTTGAGGCCCAGATTCTGCTGCACATCTCTGGATCAAATGCGCATTTGCACCCACCAAGCTGCCTGGATGCCATATATCCTTAATATGCACATGTCAACGGACCGTGGGCTGTAGAAGCATTTCTGGCTTGTGTGAAGCTGGCCAGTAGTTTACTGACTTGAGCTGCTGAGAGAAGGATCCTTCAGTAAGTTCCATTGTAGGGCACATGGGCTGTATGCAATATAAAGCTTCAACTTCTTGAGGAGCCTGACTGTGAGAAAGATACAATTTTGCCCCTGGTAGGTGGTGTGCGTTCCTAGGGACTCCTGGCTTTTAAAAGCCATTGTGGAGAATAGTGCTGTTAACTTCAGAGTACTTCTTTTTGCTCTGATGGTATTCTGCACTTGTGAGACCCTGCTTGGAGTACTGTGTGCAGTTGTGGTGGTCTCAATGTAAGATGGACATGGAGCTGTTGGAGCAAGTCTAGAGAAGGTCATGAGGATGATCAGGGGCTGGAGCACCTCCTATGTGAAGACAGGCTGCTAAAATTGATGCTGTTCAGCCTGGAGAAGAGAAGGCTGCGTGGAGACCTCATAGAAGCCTTCCAGTATCTGAAGGGGGCCTACAAGGATGCCAGAGAAGGACTCTTTATCAAGGACTGTAGTGATAGAAGAAGGGGTAATGGGATCAAACTTAAACAGGGGAAGTTTAGATTGGATATAAGGAGGAAGATCTTTACTGGGGGGGGGGGGGGGGTGAGGCACTGGAACAGGTTACCCAAAGAGGCTATGAACACTCCATCCCTGGCGGTGTTCAAGACCAGGTTGGACAGAGCCTCGAGAAACATGGCCTAGTGTGAGGTGTCCCTGCCCATGGCAGGGGGGTTGGAACTGTATGATCTTAAGGTCCTTTCCAATCCAAACCATTCTATGATTCTATGTTAGTATTTCTCCAGCTGCAATGATAGGCTTCTCTTCTGTGCTTCTACAGTCTCCGGTTTTGGCTAATAATTACAGCCCTTTTTTGTACTTCTGCTCTTAATATTCATGCTTGTATTCTTTCCAAAAATTTCTTTCCCTTTCCCTTTCTTTCCCTGTATAAAGATTTCTGTCTCTGCTCTGACTCTGTGATCCAGCACTTCTGAGGCGGCTTGTAATATTTCCAGA